CTTTCACCTTTCACTGGAGTAACACAATTTTTTGAAGTTTTGAGAAAAGTCAAAAAATGTTTTTCAAAATCAAATTGAAGACTTTTTGCAGTTAAAGAGAACGCCCAATGCCCCTTATACACTATTGGCTCCATTTTTTAGCACGAAATTTTGCAAAATTTTCATCAAGTGGACTTCAAAAATAAATTTTCAAACATAATTTTATCTTTTATTTTCGCTTTATGCTGGACCAATTGATAAAAAAAAAATGTTTGCTGTTTTGTGGAAGTTTGAAAATTTTGTATTTAACGCTGGAGATTAATGGCTAAAAGTTATGTGTTTCAACAACCTCAAACAATTGGTCACAATGTAGCTTAAAATTTGATGAAATAATATCAAAAAATTTTGTGTAAAATTCGATAATTTTTCCAAATTTATTTTTCGATAACTTCAACTTCTATCAGACTAACATGCACTCCTTTCTCTACACTCGGTTTTTCATTTTTGGAAAACTAGTTTTGAAAATCCATTTCGAAAACTGCGTTTTTATTGAGCGGTTCTTATAAGCTTGAAGAATTGGAAAACTTCAAAATAAATTCACAGCTATTTTGACTTTTCAGCCAAAATTTCGGGATTTTCTATGGTTTCGGGGCTTTTTCCTATTTAGCGGAACACTCCCAGTTTTTTGACAATTAACAATTTTGAAATTAAAATTTGTAAGATTTAAAAATTTGCGTTGTTTGACCCAATTCGACTAGGAAGAATTTTGAATTCACTTTCAAAACCAGTTGTACCGCATCTGGTTAACGGCTGGCGCTCAAAACAATAAATTCAAATCGGTTGTTAGCTTATTTGTTAATAGTTTTTGATTTATTTATTTTATTTTCTTTGATTTTATTAAAAAGTAAAAAGTCGATCTTGAAAATAAGATCTGATATACATATATCATAATAAGCGAATGTTGTATTCCAACTTGCGGCGGTAGCTTATCCTTGCTACCACCACCTTCTTCTTGACATATCAAACTATACATATGCTCTCTCTCCCTCTCTATTTCTATTTTTTCTCTAACTCACTTGTCTCTAGCTACATACTTCACCTCGAGGCTTACTTTAAATTTTAGCGTTTCCATTTTTCATCTTCTTTTATTGATTTACAATTTTTATTAGCGTAAAAAAATAAAAATAAAAAATGTGGTAGTAGAAATTAATAGCTAAAGCGTTACTTATTTACTAGCTAACGCCTACTTATAAACGTATTCTCTATATAACGGTTTCGTTTAATTAAAAAAAAAAAAAAATAAACCAAAACAGAAATGGAATTTAACTGAAAAAAACGCAATATATTAATT